TCCCTTCGTCTTTTCCGTCCATCATGTCCCCATTTGCCCTTCCCATCTCTCCTTCTCTCCTTCTCCTTATTTCCACGTCCTTTCAATGGTGTACTGGCCACACCTTCCTACCTCAGGGTTCCTTCGTGGGCAGTTACCCCATGACCAGGGCAGGAGCAACCGGGGAGAGGGGAGTGAGAGACAAAAGGCAAAGGAGAAGGGGGAAGGGGAATATGGACAATAGCAACAAGAAAGATGAGGACGTAAACTCCTCTTTTTTCCTTTTTTCTGTCCTTTTTTCTGTCCCTTTTTCTTTTTTTTCTTCAAATAAAAAAAGTGAAAAAGACGAGGGTACGGGACTTGAAAAGAATGAAAGCCCGAGGGGTCCTACAATGTAGGCCTCAGGACAGGGCCACATGCACGACACCCATCCCCTTCCTTTTCTAGGTCAAAGATCCCCCAGAATATGACCGGATGCATCTTTCCATTGCATCTTCGTGCTAACCAGAGTTTACCATGATGAGTATAGCAGCTTTGCCTCGCCGCTGCCGTCGTTGTCGTCGTTGTTGTCGTTGTCGTCATAAGATCATGCCACCCAGCGCGGGTAGTCGCCCAATTAGTTGGCCTGCCAAATTATCCTCGTTGACTGACATGGCTCATTTCCATGGATATTTTCTCTCCCACTATACTTGGACTTGCGCCCCCAGCGCATACGTCCCCTTTCAGCCACGAGAGAGGCTAATCAATCCATCTGCCACCCCCCCTTCAATCGCTCTGATTGTGAAGTCTGTTCCTTGATTGTCGTGCTGTGCTCGCGCCGGGGTGTGGAGCCTTCCCAACGGCTCTGTCTCTTCACCATGAGAGATTTGCGACGCGGCCCCCAACATAGGCCGTGTAGCTACATGCCCATCAAGATTTCGACTACTGCGAATCATGCCCCGCCGAACCTGCAGACGCTCAAATGGCAAATCCTCCTATTCGGACAAAACCAATGTTAGTATTGACGCGGTAAGGCTGGGGATTATTGATGTGGGAGGGCATAGAGGGGAACCATGTTTAGGGTGACACTTTTCCTTCCAGACACATGCCAATAACTTAATTCAGCAGCACCGATCACTAACCTGGCCCGTCCGCAGCTTGTAGCCGGCAAGTCCAAGCCGGAGCCGCAATACCTCGGCATGCTGACGCGCTTCAGCACGCGTCATCGTTGGTTGACGCGGTAGTCGAGGCGGAGACGACGCCAGCACGTCTGTATCCGTCTCTACCTCCGTTGTGCACGTTGCCAGAGACGTATCGCCCGTCGAGTTGTCGAAGATGGAAGATGGTTCTGGGGAAATAGAGCAAGCGTCGCGGTCTCGGGTGACCGGTCCGCTGGGGCTGTCATCCGTTGTCGTCATCGCCATTGACGCCGCGGCAACGCATTGCCTCTTCTTCACTGCATCTGGCCCATCCTCCACGGCTGCACTTTTCCGTTTGCCACCATTGCTGCCATCTGGGTCTTGTACGTCATGTGATGCCAGGGTTTTGACCTCTGGTGGTTGCGACAGCTTGAGCGATGGGATCAGAGACCGCGAATTGTTGTCGAGAGGCGCCAATGCCCGTCTCTTGCCAGGAGACACATGCATGTTGGCAAGCGGGTGTAGTAGGACGGCCCTCGTTGCACAGGACTTGCCAAACTAGAACTGCTGCCGTCCAGATTGGACAGTGGATCGGTCGAGGGACGGACTCCGGCGATGGGATGTATGTATGTTCCCACTACGGTTTATGTATCTTGTCGGGCTGTGCTTGATTATTCTGGTGGAATTGATGCGTTCGTGCTCACTTTTTGCTTAAATGTGTGAAAGGCGAAAGACCGATGCATGTAAAGAATAGTTGAGTAGTACTGTGCTCATGCCCTCAACGAATAGACCAAAGCACATGTACGAGCATCTGCTTAGAATCATTCAAGGAGCGGCCAAGGATAACATCCAGACGGTACGGACTGACTTAATTATATGGGGATGTCGCGTCTTTCTCAGTCGCGTCATACATAATAAAAATATTGCTACGTACCACTATTATTATAATTATGCACTATTTATTTTTTGCCGTTTCGAGTAAGCGCCATATTATCCATCCTGCATAAGAGGCATAAACCAGGCATTTAACAGTAATCTGTATGTAGTGGCTAGTAGGTATGACCACATTTGGATACCTAGGTAGGTACTCAATTGCTGTTGAAATGGTGGGAAGGCTGGGGAGAGGGGGGCGAAAAGAAAGAAAGAAAAAAGGAAGAGGGAAAGAAACAGTCGCGTGCAAAATGAACATTAATCCAAGCAGCTCTCTGCAGGCATTTTACATTATTCTCAACACTATACGTCTGCCCAAAATACGTAGTAGTGTGGATATTCAAGTCAAGTTCTGGCAAAATGCAACAAAAGCACGTGCTTGTTTTTGAAGAATGATTATACATGAAACCAAATTTAACATGAAGAAAAAATCACCGCCCAAAATCGTCTGCATCGTGAAAAATATATTGCAGTTGCTATCATGGCTCCTATTTTCCCCGGGTATCATCATTATTGCTTTGCCGTCCAATACATGCGTGGCGAGAATTTGACCACACACTCATTCTAGCGTGCGGAATGTTACGCCCATGACGAATGAATGGACCTCATTTGTGTCTTCCCTCAACTCCGAAACAAAACCAGAAAGGCAAGAACAGACTCTTTCGCTAAGAGAAACCCCACCCATTTTCCTCCGTATCACCTCTCCCTGGTCGGCCACTCAGTCTGCCCTCTCCCTGACCATGTTTTATAAAACACTGAAGGTGGGCGCATATATATGTTCTAGGGCACCCAACATTATTGGGAGATTTCGCGCAAACCTAGCTCAAGACTCGACTTTCCCTCCCTCTCATGTTGAGGATATGGTAATTAGGTCGGCATCAAGCCGTCATTGAGGTTGGGTCATATGAGTACATGCTGGTGTCTAGCGAGAAGGGCTTGTCGAAATCAACGTGGACATCATCCCATGCCATCGATTCGGACAGATCCGGTTCTGCGCCAGATCCGAGAGTGAACCCATCACCATCAAATGGCTGCCATGTGTCGAAGCCCATGTCGAGTGTTACATTCAGTGTAATGCCTTCAGAGACGTCGCTGTTGGGCTCCGAGGATGCACTGTCTTTGCTTGATTCCGGGGTGTCCAGTGGCGACAAAGCTCGATAAACGGCCATATTCGAGATGGCGCCGCCGCCGCCACTTTCTAATCCTCCTAGATACTGTGACAAGTTTTGCGGATCAATGGTGCCAAACTGCAACAGTCCTGCCGTTGCACCTGTTTGTGTGGCGGTATTGTCTTCGCCTTGGACCGCTGGAGCATTCATGCCAGTTGGCTTCGCGGCCAAGGCCCTGCTAGTCATGTCCTTGGTAGCATCGGCTGATCCGGCCGCAATCTCTTGAATTTTTGTCGATGCGCCGGCTGGGGTCTGGCCAGGTCGTTGCGTAGCATTCGTCGGGAGTGCGGTCGTTACAAAAGTAGGGTCGTGCTTGGATTGAGCATTGGCGTCGAGCCCGAGCGATTCGGCAAAAGCCTCAAAAAGATATTTTGGTGGATCCTCACGGGGCCTAACGTGCTCTTCCTGGATATGCGCGCGACGAGCTTCTTCTGTCAAAAACGGGAATCGGCTTGCTTCACAGTCCGGCTCCGGGCAAGGGTATTGCGGCTCCACCGGCTTGTCTTTCTTCGCTTCCGGAGAGGCATGCTTGCCTAGCTGAGGGCTACCGGTCGCACCTGTACTGTGGCCATGCTTCCGCCGCTTGTTAGGCAGCGTCAGATCCATATGAGACCCGTTGGCATTGCTATATGTCGGCACGCCGTGTGGCGAAGGAGCAGATGGGATTTGAAAAGGCGGCTCCTTTGACGTGGGTGCAGCAGGCGGACCTCCTGATTTGCTGTTGGACCTGACATGCTTGTTGTGCTTCTCCAAGTTTGTCGCGCTTAGCGGCGTGGGCTGCACGACGGGCGTTGCAACCGGTGCTGGCGGACCTTGTGGGTGGTTCGATTCCGTGGCGCCTTGCGTGTTTCTCTGTCCTGCCTGTGCGGCATTGTGAAGATCCTTGCCCATGGAAGCCAAGAGCAACTTGGCTTCCTCGACATAAGCACGCTGAATGGTGAAAGCATCTTTTGGCTGCGTCGCCGCTTCGCCGTCTTTGAATTGTTGATGCAGGCGAATGCGCTACCGCGTATTAGTAAATCCTAGTCACGCAACAGGTTCTGGTTGAGGAACGTCTACTCACAGTGACAAAATATTGTTTCGCACGGGTGTCATCGTGGGTGAGGCTGTACCATTTCGTCAATAGCTTAGCGACCTTGCGTATCTCGCCAAGCATATGCTGAGCATCCCGGGCCATCTCCATGTGCTGCTGTGGGCTCATGGGTACATCTGGAAGGGCCTCTTCCCTGCACTGGCGCCCTGCCTCGTTCGAAATAGTTCTCAGACGTTCGATGTCCTGGTTTTGTGGTGGCTGGGCCTGGCGCGTTTTCAGAAATTGCTCGTACTTGAGCCTCTGCTCCTGCGACATTGTTGCAAGTTGAGCCGGTGTCAATCTCGGGGGGCCTATTTGCCCTGGCTGTGAAGGTGGCCGTTGAGCTGGCGCGGGAGTTGATCCCGTCGCCTCCACATCATCACTGCCTCGCTTTGCTGGTCTTTGCGGAATTGCTGAAGAATTTTGTTGGGGCGTTGATCGATTCCCTCCAACCGGTTTCTGAGGCTTGGTAGGTGCGGCGGCCATGGACGGCTCTGCAGTAGTGCTCGGAGGCCTTTGCGGCGGTGGTGGCACAGCCGGAGTGATCTGGGTTGGTGGCACTTGGGCCATCTGCGTCGGTTGTCCTGGCTGTCCTGGCTGGTTTGGCGCTGGTTGCGGTCGCGGAGGCATGTATCTGTTCCTGAGCTGATGCTGCTTAAGCTGGACAAGATAACTCCTAACCTCCTCCTCTTTCCAACCTTTAAACTTTTCGCTGGCTAAGCGTGCATTCTGAATCTCCTGTGACGTGATTGTAACATTCTGTAGAGCCATTTGCAGAGCGGCATTTGCATTGTTTGGTTGCATCTGGCCAACCACTTGTCCTTGAGGGCCTGGAGGCTGGGCGCCAGGAGGTAGTTGAGCGCCCCCAGGGGGTTGAGCTCTCTGAGCGCTGAGCAGCCTTTGGAATTGCATTTGCTGTAGCGAAAGAATCTTGTTCTGAGCGCTAGGATTGGCGTTGTTTTGTATCATCCACTGCTTAAGCTGACCCCATTTCTTGATCGCGGGAGGCAGGTGCGGTATCTGTCCTGTGACAGCTGGAGGGACGTCCAAAGAGTCCATAAATGCTGCAGCAGTGCTAGAATCTAGAGGCAAACCAGGCTGGCCCGGTGCAGTAGAACGCATTCTGTTCAGCTGCTGTTGTACCAGTGTAGGATTTTGCGAGTTGCCTCCAGGCATATTGCCACCAGGCTGCGGTGTCATGTTGCCGCCGGGAGTAAATTGTGCCATGGGATTACCCTGACCAAACTGGCCAAGCTGAGCCGGGGCCTGAGGCTGGCTGGCCATCTGTTGTCGGTTGTTCGCCATGAGCCACTTGCCGAGGACCTCATTTTGTTTCTCAGGGGGCAACATGCGAAGGGTTTGTTGCTGATCAGGACCCAGGTTGCGCATCATCATCGCCATTAGATTATTCCTGTTGGGGATTTGTCCAGGCTGCGGCCGTGGGTTCCCTTGGTTGAGCCGCATGTCCACGCCTGGTCCGAGGTTAGGATTTCCCTGGCCCATTTGCTGCCCCATTGCCACGGGCGGCCGCTGGACTGGAGCATTAAGAGTGTTCATGGCAGGGCTCTGTGTCATTGCGCCTGGTCCGCCTAGACCCCCAGGTTGACCTTGCATCTGCTTTGCCTGGGCTTGAGCCCGAATCGAGGCCTGAGTTTTTGCTGCTGCCTGGTCCATTTGCATTTGCTGGTTTTGTTGCATGTTCAGCGGTGGTTGTTGCGGGCGACCAGCTTGAGCTGCTCCCTGTTGGACACCGGGTTGGCCAGGGGCAGAGGCGCCTCCTACCGGTTGTGGAGTGGCATTGCGACCAGCAGCACTCGCGGGTACGACCATTTGACCTGCTTCTTGAGCCATCATGCCGGCCTTTTGCTGGTTCATGAGTTCAACATTGGAGAAAGGTCCCAGATCTCCATTGATTGCTGCCGACCCAGCTTGCTGCCCGCCCGGATTGGCCCCGTGAGCGTTGGCAGAGCGCTGTTGCTGCTGTTGCTGTTGCTGCGCTTGCCGCTGCTGCTGCTGCTGTTGTTGTTGTTGTTGCTGCTGCTGCTGCTGTTGTTGCTGTTGCTGCTGCTGTTGTTGTTGTTGTTGTTGTTGCTGTTGCTGTTGCTGCTGCTGTGCCTGTATTTGCATAGCATTCATACCACCATTGGGAGACATGCTCATTTTGGCTAGCATTGATGACACTAAGGACTGTTGAATGAAATGAAGTGCCACATCTTGTCCCTTGGAGTTTAGCATGTGAATTTGCTGTGGATTGAGTTTTTGCATCGCCAAATTCCGATAGTGGGCTTTCTCCGGCTCGCTCAGGCTGTTGAATCTGGTTATGGCCGCTTGCTGCAGTCGCTGCCTTTCCTGGGGAGGGATGTTGTTTACAGTCAAGCCTCGACGCATTTGACCTGGGCCCATCTGCGTTGGCTGTTGCGGTTTTGTGCCCATGGGGAGTACGCCTTGATTAGGCATGCCCATCCCGGACTGCTGTGGTTGGCCAGGAATAGGAGACGCCTGCATCTGTTGTTGTAGATGCTGAAAGCCTTGCTGTGGAGTTTGGCCTATTCGCATTTGTTGCGGCATCATGCCCGGCTGATTCATCATAGGTGCTTGCGGATTCTGTGCGCGGCCTTGCATTTGCGCGGCTTGCTGTTGATTCAAGGTGTTCTGAAGAGTTAATTCGTTGGACTGGCGTTTCAGAAAGAGCTCCTGTAATCTATTCTGGACCTTCTGGTCATATGCTTCCTGCAAAAAACGTAAGTATTCGGCTAGGGCATGATGGTTTGTTCTACTTGGTAGGAACCGGGTGGACGCACCTTGCTTGGCGAGTGCATGTAGCAATCCCTCTCAAAATTGATGATCGCGCTCATCGTCTGAGTAGAATCGCTCTGTGGATTGGCGAGAAAGGTATTGGTTAGTCTAGCCAAAGATTAGCGTCAGGACACGAATGACGGAGGCACTTAACCCACAGATTACCAGCATTGTTGACGCGATGCTGAGGTGGTAGAGCTGCCTGCCAACCTGACGGAGGTGGCATGTTCTGCTGCTGCGTCATGATGATGCTCATCAGCGTATTGAGCATAGTCTGTTGCGGCATGCGTGGCCGCATCTGCTGCGGCATCATGGGCATTTGACCAGCCATTACGGCAAGATTTGGCAGTGAGTTCGTTTTGTGTGGAGTAGGAGGTATTGGTCAGGATAGACAGCAGGTATAGTTGCTGAGGAAGACAAAGAGCCCCTCGAAAGTGCCGAAGTCAGGCTGTACGATGCCTTCGATACTTCAAATGACATCCATACAGAGCAGTTCACAGGTCTTGCTAGAGGTACCGTGCTGGGAGATGCCAGAGATGGTGACAGGATTGATCGAGAATGGGAAGACTGGTGTTACAGTGACTCGTAACCAACGACCTGCCTCGCGCGCACGCGCCCGCAGCTTTCGGGGTGGGTGCCTGCTCGTTTGGTGTTGAAGCCAGCAGGCCAGAGAGCGCAGTTCTGGTGAGGGTCGAAGCGATTGAAGGCTTTGTTCAGCAAGACAGGAAAGAGACAGGAGTGAACGGGAGTGTCAACATCCTCTGCTTCGCGCGGCGGGGACGACTGTCGATAGGCAGAGGCAAGAAGGATGCTCGTGGTCGCCGCCGGCGTCGTGGCGATGTTGGTGGTCGTTGTCGCTGTCGCTGTCGCTGTCGTCGTCGCTGTCGCCGCCGCTGTACTACTGAAGCGCGTGTGGAAGGGAAAGCAGTGCAGATCAATTTCGAAGAAGAATGCTACCTAGCGCTCAAGTGGACCAAGGTGAGTTGGGTAAGGTGGATGAGTGGGTGCCGACTGTGACTGCGGTTTGCTCGAGACAGGGTCGTCGCGGGGAGCGGGGAGCGCAGAATGGCGTTGCGTCGTCTTGGGGACGGAGCAGCAGCAGCGCTTTGGGTGTACCTAGAAAGTGGGAAGAAAGTGCGGCAACGCGGAAGTAAACCAGCAGTGTAGGAAGTGGCCAAGATGGTGCTGATGGCAAGAAATCTCGTTTGAACCGCGCGTGTGCGTTTGTTATTTTCTTGTCGAAGGGTGAGAAGAGATGGTGCCTGGAAAGCCGTATGGTTTGTGGCATGTAGGCGGGTAGGTATTTTCGGGGGGGAAGGGACTTGAGTGTGTGAGTTGATGGGCGAGTGAAGGTGGTGAGCAGAGCATGGTTGGGAACTTCAAATGGGCGAACCAGCGTGGCCCAGGTTGTCAAGGGTGGCCCAGCAAGGCGCTACACTACGTACTGCAGCAGGGACGCTAGTAGGTAGGTCAGTAAGGTAGGTGCGCATCAATGTAGGTTCAAAGTTGGGATCTGGCACTGGACTGGACTAGGCGACCAGGATTTGGACAAGGCCCCGAAAGACTAATGTGGGCGCCACCTTACCCAATCCCCCTCCCCCCCTGTCCGCCTGTCGAGGGTGCCAAGCTTGAGAGCCCAAGAAGAGAGGGAGAGGAAGAGAGAGAGAGAAAGAGAGAGAGAGAGAGAGAGGTGAATGAATCAACAATCATTTATTCAGTCCCCCGTAGCTACTCGCAACTAGATCCGGGTCTTTCAAACTTTGGTCACATCTTTCAATCAATCGAACTTTGCCTTGCCAGAGCAGGAGCCATATTCTTTCATATAGTAAATTTTGATGTATGAAAATCTACGAAGAGATACAGTTTGGCATCCATATTCCAATGTGTGGTGTGGTACGTATGAATGAATCGGTATCCATGTCCTCCTGATCACTAGTTAGGTACACTAAACGCCAAGCTGCCGGCACACACACACACACAAGCAACACACACACACACACACACACACACACACACACACACACGACAA